TCCTTACCTGTAAGCATGCAACGACGCTCGTTGTAATAATGCATGCGTTTCTTGGCTACGTTTTAAAAATCAGGCCGTCAAACTCATTGCCAAGCGTAATTATATGCATTGTATCGACGACAATCGTTAAAAAAAATCTACCGACGATAAATAAACACCCCCCCCCCCTCCTCCTCCTCATCCCTGCCCCCTACCCCCTCCACAACCCCCCTCCTTCCCAATAAAATAGCGAGCCTAGCGATGGGATTTGAATTTTAGAGGAAACAGCAACGAGCGGGCGAAAGGCGACAGGAAAGGGCCTGATACATCGAGGCACATACAATTTTTCACTTTCGCGGCTCAGCGCAACTGCCAAAATCCGTTAAACTTTGAATACGGAGCTTATTCGACTATCGCAACACAGCTTCGAAAGCGCAGGATTAGGGCGCGCAACTTACAAAGCAGTCTCCTTTCACTACCGTTTTCCCCTCATTTCACACAACTGAAATTTAATCGCACTCTTGGAATGCGATAAACCATGCACCGTCACCACTCAACACACGCACACACACGTACACGCCGCACAATTCGCAGGCGCGCGTGTCTCGGGTTCCCTAATAGCAATTGGAAGGGAGCAGAGCACACCTTCCCGAAGCCGGATTCGAGCTCATCCCGTAAGGCGAGCGCGCACGGCGAAGCACATTTAATCAAGGAAGACACGGGAAGCACACGAGGTGACTGCGAGATCCTCGTGGCTCAACACGCGCGAACACTGCCACCGACTCGTCGGCGGATGAAAAACTCGACGACGCCAAACTAAACCAAAGCCCGCGAAAAGTTGACCCCCAGCGGTTTATCGTTATTACCTGATGTAAGTAACGTTGGCGCGAGCGCATCGGTCGAGCGAGACGAGATGCGTCCATAGCGCGCGACGGCGGTCCGCGTTCTCACACAGGAGGGCGTCCGGTTTTTCCTCGGCGCGCAACCCCAACAACGGCGGCGTCGGCGGCGTCGGCCTCGACTGCCTTCGGTCACGTAGGCACTGTGCGAGCGAGATGGGCACAGCCGCCGAAAGAGGGAGAAGCGTATTCGGCCGGAGACTGAATAGATTTTCGCAGGTACGGTCTCTAAGTACGGCCTGGATCCGGGGGCCCTAGGCTTTCTCTCCCCCCCCCCCCCCCTCCCCCTCGCCATTCGTAGAGGGGTGAGGGGTGAGAGATACCCGATCGCACCCCCTCCCCTTCCCATTCCCCTTCTATCACGCTTCGTCGCTCCGTTACCCTGTACGGTCCATCTCGGGCGGGCGCGCGCGCGCGCGCCCCTCCCTCCCTCGCCGCGCACTCCGCACGAATCGTCAAAGGGCCGTTTCTATTCTCTCCGTCATCTAGTCCCTTTGCCTATCCCCTAAGCGCTCGTTTCTACTCTCAAACTCCCCTCTCCTCGTCCTCCACGACCGACACATCGCCCCCCCCC